GCACTCACTCTAACTGGGCAACAAAGCGAGACTTTGTCTCAAAAAAAAAAAAGGCATACTTATAGGCTAATATGATTTGGAGAAAAGTGAGGTCATTATATGAAAACTTAAAGCAAAAGGAAAGTGAAGGATCTAAAGCTGGAGAATTCAATGTCAGCAAAGGATGGCGAGACCCTGTGTCTACAAAAAAATATATTTAAATTAGTTGGGCGTAGTGGTGCACACTTGTACTATAGTCCCAGCTACTTGGGAGGTTCAGGAGGGAGGACTGCTTGAGCCCAGGAGTTCAAGGAGGCAGTGAGCTAGGATGGCCCCCACTGCACTCCAGCCTGGGTGACAGATTGAGACCATTTCTAGGAAAAAAAAAAAAAAAAAAGTCAAGGAACAGGAGAAGCAGCTGTGCCAACCAAGAGGCAGCAGACACCATTAAGAAAATCACTGAGAAGAAAGGATATCTGCCTGAATAGGTTTTTAATGCAGGCAAAAGTACCCTATCCTGGAAAAAAATACCACAAAGGACATTTATTAGTAAGGAAGAGAAGCAAGCACCAGGTTTTAAGGCAGGAAGGGACAGAGTACCTACTGTTCTGTGCAAATGCAGTTGGGTTCTATGATCAGGACTGCCCTTATCTGTAAAGCTGCTAACTAACCCCAGAGCCCTAAAAGGGAAAAAATAAACACCAGCTGCCAATCTTCTGGCTGTACAACAGGAAGGCCTGGACAACGAGAACCTTTTTCTGGACTGGTTCCATCGATGCTTTTTTCTCAGATATCCTTTCTTCTCAGTGATTTTCTTAATGGTGTCTGCTGCCTCTTGGTTGGCAGAGCTGCTTTTCCTGTTCCTTGAGTTTTGTTTTTTGGTTTTTTTTCTAGAAATGGTCTCAATCTGTCACCCAGGCTGGAGTGCAGTGGGGGCCATCCTAGCTCACTGCCTCCTGAAGTCAGGAAGTACCTTGCCAGTAAGGGACTGCCTTTCAAAGTTCTTCTGATATTGGACAAGGCCCCTGGCCACCAAGACCTCGTGAGTTCAGCACTGAAGGCACTAAAGTGGTCTATTTGCCCCCAAACATGGCTCTAATTCAGCCTCGAGAGCAGGGAGTCAATAAGGACCTTTAAGGCTCATTACGCACAGCACTCTATGGAAAGGACTGTCAATGCTATGGAAGAGAACCCCAACAGAGAGACTATCATGAACATCTGGAAGGATTACACCATCGAAGACACCACTGTTGTCACAGAAAAAGTCATGAAAGTCATCAAGCCTGAAACAATAAATTCCTCCTGGAGAAAACTGTGTCCAGATGCTGTGCATGACTTCGCAGGATTTACCACAGAGCCAACCAAGAAAATCATAACAGAGATTGTGGACATGGCAAAAAAAAAAAAAAAAA